TGAATTCGCCCTCTATCTTCATCTAGACATCGGACCACCCTAAAATGGCATGATTTGCATACGTTATACTGCCAGGATTAGCATATGCAAACACGCCTCGGTGTTCGTATGCTAAATAAGGCGAGATGGAGGTGGTTTGGGGATTGCTTTTGTCTGCGGGGGTGCCTTGATTCATTGCTGTGTAATGCATCGCGGGAGACGTATGGCGCTGATGAATCCACTAGCGTCTTTTTGGCCCGTACCACCATGTGCCAACGCTTGCAAATTGTGGGGAGAATATGATTATGGATTGGTAAAGGGCAGCGAAAATTGATTTGAAACAAGGTAAAAAAATTTAAGGTAGCACTGACTTTAGATTAGTTTGATTAAAGGAACGGTACCACCATGCGCACTCTGAAATAAAGCGCTCAGAGATTGAACGTCCAGAGAAGCATGATGTAGTCTCATACGTAGTACGTCACGGTGTTCCTCTGACCACAGTATTCCAATGCTCATTTTGCGAATAAAAAATGATCAGGGACTCCCTTTTTCATTCGTTAGCGAAGCCGAACTGTGAAATTGCCGCAATCGCACCGGGTTAGTAGGCCTAGAGGCGCATATCGTAGCGTAGTACGGACCGCTACTTTCACACGTTTTCGGAAGCGCATTTTTCGTGAAAATTAAACATTAGACGAGGCATAAATCCTCGACCTTCGAGTGACTAGCACTACCCACAGTTAGTCAATACCTACAGAACCACTCTACTTCCGGCTTACTAAATTTCACCCCGTCTCCAATTACCGTACCCACCCGCACGCCCAAACAACACACACCGTGTTTGGAGCCGGTTTTAGGACCCAAGGCTGTAAACCTGTAGGAGGACCCTGCGGCGGCCTAGAAGAGTGCGCACGCCGGAGAACAAATAAAACAACGCACACGCCATTTGCATATACCATGAAGGTCACGGCAGGGGAGGGGGATTGAGAGGAAGGGCTTTGTCTTATCCTCAAAAACCTTGAAATTTTTGGCAATTAATTTGAGCTAGGAAATAGTCGGTGAAAACAGCATAACAAAGAATGCTATCGGGCTCGGCTGACTTTGTAAAATCCTAGGCAAACGGAAATTTAAACAACAATCCGGCGTATCGATCCCAAAGGCACCTATAAACGCCTCAGAAAAATGCCGCGGCCGTTTTTGACCGCTTCTCCGCCGCCACCCCGAGAATAAATCACAATATTTTTGAATCAATCCCCGCCGGCCCAAAGCTGCTTGTGTTTTTCGGTTGGTTTCCGGTTGATGTGTAATACCTCGGTTGCGCAATATTTTCTGATTCTTGAGATAAATCTGAAAACCTTAGTAAATATACACTTGAAAAAGTCAGGATTAGCGAGAGAGCGAGAGAGAGACAGAAAGAGAGTGAGAGAGCCAGAAAGGGAGTGAGAGAGAGGAGAAAGCGAGACGTTCGGCTTTTACGAAAATTCGGTAACTTTTTCTATCAATGAAACAATGAGGAAATTCAACAGACCCTTTGACGTCATCATCATCGCCTTCACAATTCACACGCCCCTGCGATGATGAGTCACTTAGCAATGACCCAGTGAATCCAAAACCAATCGGCTACGGCTTGATGAAAATGCGGCGGCAGCTGTGAAGGGAAAAATCAAAGGGGGAGGAGAATATTGATGAAAAAGCTGGTCTCGGAGCCTTTCAACTCGGTGGAAACTGTACGAATAGGGTGAGTACGAGAAGGGGTCATATTAAAGGGACCGGCAGGGCACGGCTATGGATTTTCCTTAAGATCTACACGCGACGTGAATGCTGGTCTTGCCATTGCGTGACCCACAGTCCAATGTTGCCGAAGCGATGCGTACTGGATAGCATGTCACGCACGTGCCCAGTTCCATCGGAAATCCATAGACAAAGACTCAGAGTTGTACATTGCCCGTCCCTCTAAAGTGGCAGTGACACTAGGTGGACAGAGACTATATGGCGAAATATTAGCACTGCAAAAAAATTAGGCTCAGGCTCAGGTTGAGGCTTAGGTTTCAGATTAAGCAGAGGCAAGAAGAAGCAGAAGAAAAAAAGAAGAAGCAGAGGCTTGACTGTGGTCTTGGTCTAGGCTTAGGCTAAGGCTTGGACTTAGTGGCGATGTTAACGCCGAAGCCTGGCCTTAGGTTTAGGCTTAGGTATATGCTTAGGCTTCGGCTTTTCTCAGGAATAGGATTCGGTTTTGACTTCGGCGTAGGTTTAGAACTTAGTTATCAAGAGTAAAATTAGTCGCAACAAACCACAAACAATTTTCCCCTCACCAGCTCCGGCCCAAAAAATGACCGTAACAAAATTGACAGGTCGGGATTTCGTGGCGAGACTCCGGGGGGTCAAATCAATGATTAGGCCCCCCGGATTGAGAAAAGGGGGAAATGAAGGGGCCCACCAGGGTGGATAGACCCCTGAAGAGATATCGTCAAACAGTGCTTGATCGGAAGCCGCCCGCCCGCAAAAGACACTCCACCACAACCGCTGGCTACAGAATCTGGGCGGATGAATTCGGGGCGGCCGCCCTCAAACAGACAGTCCCCCCTCCCTCCTCGCGGCTTCTCCCTTTCTTCTCTGCCGGCATTTACCCCCTGGGAGAAATGAAAAGTTGCGTCTGGGTGGTGGGTGGTAGAGACAAAGTGTGGCGACACGGATCGAGGCCAGTGCCCGAAGGGGTTGGGCAATCCCGGCCCTGGCGGTGGTCCAAAATAGGCCCAGCGGTGGCAAAGGCAGGAAACGCAATTTTTTTCTACGATGTTTCTATCTTATTTTTGTAAATGGCAGGCGGGAGCAAAAAATCGTAATGGGCATTTCGTAAAGGAGATTTTGACACTTGTTCATTGACCCATTTTATTTATGTTTTGATGGAGCAAAGCTTTGCAAAGAAGGATACATTTGAGTTTTCGGGGGGACCAGGTATTTGGAACAAGACGGGAAAGGGGGAAGACGGCGACTGCTGTAACGCCTGTGCCCTTCAGGTCCCTTTAAAAATAGTGACAGCGAACCGATCTCGTCCAAATTTTCTCAGATATATTTCTAAGTATGTAGTTTCCAAAACAGACTTTCAAAAATCATTTACGTCGCAAACAAAAATTTTTCGCGACCACCGCCGCACTGACGGGACATTTTTTCATCTAAAATACCCTTCAGGGTCCCTTGAAAATAGTGAACTGAGCCGACCCGACCAAATTCAGAGGTACCCAAGTATCTAGTTTTTGAATATCAGTTGCAAAAATAATTTACGTCTCAAATAAAAATTTCGCGAGACCACCGCCATCGATGTCAGGAAGCGTATTTTACTGCCCAAGGTGGCGGTGGTCCCAGGATTTCCACAGAAGCACAGAAAATAGAAAAGTTGACCTTCCATTCGAAAGCCCTTGTAAAGGGCTACCTAAGGACTGGCAGAACAGAAACAGAGCCAAATTATTTTCCCGTCAAAAACGCGCCTTTCCGAGTTTGTACAAAACTTACTGCCCAGCACTTTTGACCGGCGGGGTCCAGGATTTTGCGGGTTTAGAAGGAAAATTCATTTCTGCACCCGGAAGTAAGGCCCTGGGGGCAGTGAATTGCAAAGTTTCAAGACCATTGGACGTCATTTGGCATGCTTGCGGAGCCGTCGAAAAATCCGAATGCCGCGGCCCAGCACCCCCAAAACGGCGTGGTCCCGAAAAATTTTGTTTTGTTAAGTAAATGACTTTTATTGTCCAAATTCGGAAACTACATACGACGAGGCATATCTGGACTAATTTTCAGCCCGATCGGTGAAGTTTTGAGATTCTTGAAGGGTATCCGCTGAAATTTCAATAGAAAACGGCTTGGCGTGACGGCGGTGGTCTCGAAAAATTTTTGTTTGCGACGTAAATGATTTTTGAAAGTCTGTTTTGGAAACTACATACTTAGAAATATATCTGAGAAAAATTTGGACGAGATCGGTTCGCTGTCACTATTTTTAAAGGGACCGGGAAGGGCACAGGCGTTACAGCAGTCGCCGTCTTCCCCCCTCCCCGTCTTGTTCCAAATCCTTGCTTTCTGTTTCTGTCCTTCCTAATCCTGCTCCAAAAAAAGTAGCAAAAAATTAGTCGCCGCGCCGCGGCGGTGGTCGTAACCCTAGTCATTGGGGCCCAGGCGGTGGTCCCCCTGGGCAATTTTGGGGTCCGTTCGAGCACTGATCGAGGCCCTCAAAAAAGCGAGTCCGAGATATTTGCGGGCTTTTACTTACACTAGGGAGTTGGCTATTGGGGTGATCTGATTATCGGGCTCGTGCGCCGGAAGTTTTTTGGAAAGCGTACGTTTTTCTTTAAACTTTTGTCGTACATTAATTTTTCGGAGAATGCACTTTGTCAAAGTTTTCATAATGCGTCACTAATTAGCCACTAACGCATTTAACGAAGGATATTTGACATCATTGCATTTTCACGGTTTTGACCAAATGCAATTTCGAAAAACTTAGTTTTCAACCAATTAAAAGGCCGACGGATACCCACATTGCCAAATTGAAATTTCAACAAAACAACTTTGGTCGTTCTGATAGAAATTCATATCATTTAGCATCAACAAATTTCAGACCAACTTACATTTGCCCTTTCGGGTCGTCAAAAGCTAAAATCTAGGCGATGTTCATTCTTCCGAAACTACCGCATTAAAGTGCCCCGAGAATCAAACCATTCAGCCTAAAAACCGCCCTAATTAACCGGGCCAAACGCAACCTCTCGCGCCTGACTGTGCAACCCATGGTGTCTTGGTGAGACGACGGCGGCGTGCATGGTCCCGTTTGCGTTTAGGATTTCGGAAAGCGAGAAGCGGGTGGTGGTGAGAAGAAGCCTAGGAGAGGGCCAAGTGCGAAAAGCCTCCATCCTCCACCCCTGCAGGGCTTATAACCGAGGCATGAGCAAGGCTCGAGCGATTTTATTTTCTCCTTTGTATTTTGCTTCTTGGCTTTTTAAATTTCAATACTTTATCAAGATACAGTAATACACGCATAATTACAGAAATGCATCCATCGCCGGCACTTCCAAGTGATTTCCCTGTAGGTGCTGTGCACTTCCACCGTTTACACTCTAAAAATCATATTTTCAGATTAATGACATTTCCTATACCTTTCGGGGGAAGAACAGACTCGACGGTCGTCGGATCTTGTGGATGTCGATGAGTTGCACCGAGAACCTCGGTCGCCAACCAGGGCTTGTATTTGGTGAGGCGACGTAGAGTACCTATAGACGTGACGCGTACACTAAATTAAAAATGAAAGCTTACCTTCTTAGTAAACAACTGTCGAAATTGGAGCTTAAAAGACGAGCTCATCCCAAAGTAGATGGCAAAGTTGAGCGGGTAGGTGAGGATGATCAGGAAATTCCTATGATAAAAAGTCATAAAAAATTGGAAGGGCGGCTTACCGTAATATTAAAAGCGTATTTACATATCCGTAGTCCTCTTTGTCGATCATTTGGTAGTAGACGCTGAGGAAGTGGAAGACAAAGATCAGCGCCACCGGGATCTCGATTAGGAGGAAGATGGCGATGACGACGAGCAACATTCGTGTCGTAGCGGCCATCAGACGCGTAGACGATACGCATGAGGTCTGAAATTAGGTGTTTTATGCGGTATCTACAAAGCCAATTCTTAGCTTTAATGTATGGCAACTTTTAAAGTTACAAGACAAACCGAGTTTCGATTTTTCTGATTCTTGCGCCTTTACAAGTGGTCAAAGCGTAGGCTTAGGCTTAGGCTTAGGTTTAGGCTTAGGACTCCTTAGAAGTGACGACTGGGCCTCCTTGTCTCTTCAAGAAACCTGACGATATTTTATCGGAGCTCCTGGCACTTCTGTTTCGCCTCAGGGCCTTCCAAATTTAACAACCTCCAAAGCTTGTGCTTTTTTGGTCCCAACTCCTCGACGTACCCCACAAAAGCCCACCGTCGGCTTCTTCAGGGAAATAGCGTGGACGCTGCGCTTCCGGTCGGCCTCATTGATGGTGCGGAAGAGGCAGCCGGTGAAGAGGATGAGCAGCAGACATGGGACGATGTGGACGAGTAGAGCTCGACCGCAGAGCACGGTTGCCTTGAAGGTGTCGAGCTGGATTGACTGGAATTTGAAGATATCGTATTAGAGTTAAGGGCGCTGTTACCTCGTAGACATATTTGGAGTAGCATTTTCTTTTGTTACCTTCTAGGTAAGATTCGTTTTGCTCTGACAACATGATGGGGATTTCGGAGGCGATGGCAGAGCAAACTGGAAAACATGGAAATGTCTGTAACTCTGGCTCTTTGTGTGTCTCTCTATCCCTTTCTAACTTTCTCTCTCACTCTCGCTCGCTCTCTCCCTCTCTCTCTCCCTCTTTCTCTGGCTGCCGCTCTCTCTCTTTCTCTCTCTCTCTGTCACACGCTCTATCTATTTGTGACTCTCGCCCTCTTTCTTACCCTAGCTGTCGTGCTCCCTTTAAAATTATCCATTAATCCGAAAACTTACTAATGACAGTAATGATATGCCATGTCCGCGTCGGAGTACAATGCTTTACGGCAATCGACGGTAGACAAACGTACACGTATCGTTGAACTGCCAAGAATACAGTAAGCCAAATGGCAGCTGTGTGGAAGCTAAAAATTCATTACATAACGGTCTTGAGGCCTTCCTCACATTGTTGGTAGATGCACGGCAAAGTAGGGGTGAAACCGGCACCAGAATTCGCTCAACCCCTCCACGTCGTCGGTTTTGTGGCCCCCGAAAGTGTAGTAGTAGAGGAACCACGGGCAGGAGGACAGGCCTGGAATGGAAATTATGATTTTCTGCATGGGAATGAAGCGTACTTTAAGACTTTCGATACCGAATTTAAAAACTAGAGCTGTTTGCGCCTGAACAGAACTGGGCTTGGTCTTAGGCTTAGGCTTAGGCTTAGGCTCAGGCTTGGGCCTAGGCTTAGGCTTTACAACACCTCGATATCCCTTTAAAAATCTCCAGATTATTGCTCCCCGAGAATTTGTAACATTATTTTTTCGTATCTACCTCTCTCTCTCAATTGCACTTGCAGCCGGTCCTCCCCTATGTCCTGACCTTTCGTATCTTGTGGCCATGTTCCAGCACGTATATATGGAAACAACAAATTGCCCATTCCGCGTCGCACCCCTATCCACAACTACCCGTTGCCCTAGCATATGCCAAATTGGGCTGCCGAACTTCGCTTCTCGTTCGAAAATAGCCCTCGCGCATTGATGTCAGCGTTGCTATTTAGCGACCCTTGCTGCCAAGAACAACGAAATGTCACCGGGGTTAATTGATTGGGGATTGCGGGTGGCTGCAACTGCAAACTTCACATTGGTCAGATTTAGCTCTCAAAGCTGCTGGGATTTCGAGGAAAATATTTATAGCCAAAAGCCGTAAGATCACCTGCCCTTTCGGATTTTGATTGGGCTGGGAAACAATTCTCTTTATATTTGGGGCTGGATATAAAATTGATGAGCTTTTGATAGTTGTGAAATGAATGGAAAATGTGGAAACGCAATTTGGAACGGTGCCATCACTTAAAAAATTCTAGAATACGGCGCGCTCAGGAAAAATCGTTACATGATAAGAAAAGGGTGATCTCTCACTCTCTCTCTTTCTCTCTCTCCCTCTATTTCTCTCTTTCTCGCGGTATATTTATCTTTTTCTCTCCCACCTCTATCTCTCTCTCGCTCGCTCTCTCGTTCTCTCTTTCTCTCTCCATTCCCAGTCCCTTTAGCTAGTCCCAAGACGTGCCTTCTCCGAAGAAATGCCAAAAAGCGAGGAACGGCCAGCCCTTGAGGAGCCAATTTCTCGAAAGAATTCAACATTTCCCGGGCCCATAATTGGCATCCCGCCAGTCATTATCCCCGACCCCGTTGGACCAAAGGCAACAATTTAGGTCCGTCTTTTTTCGGTGTAGGTCGTCCTTTGGTGGAATTTATACGTGGGTGGCCTTTCCGGATTGGGCGTTTTTCCATGAACTTTTGACCTCGAAAAATTACCTGTCATCAGCTCGGTGACCGCCATGGAAAGTAGAATGTGGTTGGTGGGGGTTCGGAGGTGTCGATGGGAGAGTACGACGACGACTAAGGAATTTGTGATGAGCGTCACCTGGAAGTGGAGTGTAAATTTTTGGTTTTGGAGGGATTACGGTAGCCTTAAGCCTTGGTCTGGGCAGACGCTTAGGGTTCGGCTCAGGCTTGGACTTAGGCTTAGGCTGCCGAGTTCCTCTCTCCTGCTCCTCTGGTGCTACCTTATGCCCCCGAACTCTGCTCATTGGAATTCAACCCCACGAACTCATTTCCCCCGCTCTCTGAACTCCTCGCGGAGGTGGAAATATCCACTTTTAGGAGCGTCCCGCGACACCGTGTATTTTTCTCCGGACGATCGTTTACCCACCCCGTCTTCACCGTTGATAAATTGTGTTCAACCCGCATAGAAAAGATGGATGAGCGCCCTCCTCTCCTCCCACCCTCCAAACGTAGAAGTAATCCCCGGAACCCGCCAACGGGTCTCGAATAAACGACCTGGACCCCTGGGAAGCCGAGGGCCCAATTCCTCCCTCCTTTTTTGCGCGCAGCCATTTTGGAATAATTCATCTAAAGGGCCGCCTACATTATTTGAGGGCGGTCATTTGATATCCTGAACCACCCACATAACCAGAGATGGACACACATAGAGGGAAATAGAACATAAGACAAAGGAATTGAGGCGAACGGGCCGGTTGATTGGGCACGTGGGTATGCATTGAGGAGGTGTTCAGAATATGAGGAGAGAGAGAGAGAGAGAGAGAGAGAAAGCGGGAGTGAGAGAGAACGAAACATCGTTATCCTAGTTGCATTAAAGGTTTCCGGCATTAAAAGTTTTAAGGCATCCGTAAGACAGAAAAATAGAGAGCGACCAGGATGGTGAGCGATAGACCGAGAGAGAGAGAGAGAGAGAGAGAGAGCAAGAGAGAGAGAGAGAGAGAGCGAGAGAAAGAGCAAGAGAGAGAGTGAGAGAAGAGAGAAACAGAAATATAAAAACCACATTGCCCTGAATATCATAAAATCTAAAAACCTGCCAAAATAATGATCGGAGCCGCAAGACCGTACACCGGCTTGGCCAGCCAAATCGGCTGCGAAGCGGCGATCGACACCGGATGGCACTGGTCGCACATGCTGAAAAATTCAGTTTTGAATTTTAATAACAAAATAACTAAATAACCCTGTTTTTCCCCGAACCTAAAAATAACCCTATTTGCAAATCGCCCCCCAATCTCTCTGCACCTGCCACGCCCACTATTTTTGGGTGCACATTATAGGTTGCTAATCTGAGGGCACGAGGTATGACGCAGAAAATTAGGCTAGTTCTCTCTCTATCTCTTACTGTCTTTCTCTTTCGCTCTCTCGCTTTTCCACTTTCTCTGAATTCCAAATAATTTCACCCTCACCTGCTGCTATTTCCGCCTCCAGGCTCAAAAAAGCCACCGTCTACGTAGGACGACAGGTCCATATTTTCCTGGAAACGGCCGGTAAATAGGAAGAAGCGGAAAACAAAAAGGAAACGATAGAAAAACAGAAAGGGATGCTTTCGCGGCAAAAATGGATGTAATACAATATGGGGGGTTGTTGAGGGAGTGGTCAACAGGATATATGAATTTTTTTGAAAGAATGGTGAAATCTCAAAGATTTTAGTGAATAATTCCATTAACGCGTGAATGACATAGATTTACTTTATTTTTTTCAAGAGGATATCATTTTTCGTTTTTGGGCAGTATTTTGGCCAATATTTTTGGATAGTCGCAATTTCGAAAAACTGTCATCCCAAAGGGCCATCAAAGTTATAAAACAACAATGAAAAATTACCAAAAATACGGCTTTTGTAGATTTTATAGAATGTGCTTCGTTAAAACGACCGTTTCCTGTTTTCTCGGCGCGAAAGCGTGTACACGACTTGACGAAAAAGAGGTGATTCGATTACGCCTTGACATACCGGTGCAAGCATCTGGTGTCGTTGTCGAAGCAAAATTCTATAGAATACATAACCAAAAACCCCAGTCTTCTCTTTCCCATCCCTTTAAAAGTATCAAAACATTGCAGATCCTGCAAACCCAAAACCCTGCTCCTAATACAACCCAATTTTCCGAGAGAGTCCGAAATGTCCGATGTACAGCTCCGGTCCATGGCCCAAAATGGACATGGCGCTCGGGCCCTGGCCGGTTCTCCGAGCCCAAATAAAGAAGTTAGGGGGAGTGTTTCGGACAGGAGACTCCCTGGGATCTGGAGGAAAACCCCCGGCTCCTTCCCCTCGCCTCTTTTCCCCATTTCAAAGCAGGAAGTGGCCCATCCGGGCCGGCCAGTGTCGCCGTTTTTGAAGGCAACAAGCCGGGCGGAGGAGTACGACCAAGCGGTGTATTTGATGTCGAAAAATATGGAAACATCGGCCTGTCAAAAGCAGGGATTGGGAAATCTGGGAATCGGAAAGAGTCGGTTGGAGTCTGGAGTATAGTGTACTTTATTCTAAATTCTAATCAAATTTTTTCTGCTCTACTTAAATAATGGATTTGCACAGTTCGTTGCACCAAAAAAAAATGCGAAAATGGTGATTTTTGAGGTATCGAATGGATGTTAAAAATTGGCTCTTCCCCAGCCACATCTGAAAACTTTTTCTTGGCTTCGGTCGGTCAACATGCCAGGTGGTCAAAGTTGAAATGGTCGCGTAAAGCCGATTTAAATGAAAGAAGTTAATATTCAATATACGGACTTTACATACAACTTTTTTGAATTATATGTCGTAATCGGACCCAAAATAAAGGGATAGTATATCTCTAGGTTTACGCTTTGATTTTAAGCTTCGCTTGGCCTAGGCTTAGGCTTAGGCTTAGGTTTGAGCTTAGGTTTGAGCTTAGGCTTAAGCTTAGGTTTAGGCTTATCCCTAGAATTTTCAAAACAAGTGATCTGAACGTGCTAAACTGCAATCATAGGTGTGGGACACAATTTTGCATGCAGCACCTCCCGCAAATGCTCCTTGAGCAGAAGAAATTTGCAGCCACCCGCAGCCGTTCAATTTCGACTTCTTCAGGACATATGAACGTCGAAAGGAGAAGCGGTGGAAGGTAGAGCTAGACGCTCCAGGAGGCAGAAATTGGCTCAGCAAAAAGGAGGCCATGTGGGGGGCCAGAAGATAAAAGGCGCGGTCATCTGAAGCGAGGCACGTCCCCACGGTGCTGCCGCTGGATCCCCCTGGATGAGGAAAAACTCCATCGTGTGCCCCTCCGACTCTCATTAGGGGAGCCCTTCCATGGCTCTTTCTCGATGGTCACACACAAAATATGGGTCTATGCGAGGGGCGGTATCTGGGCCCCAACGGCTAAGGGCCCATCGGGCGAAAAGCAGAATCTAGTCAAACAATTACTGCCAAGCGCACACACACACACTTACGCATGCACTCATCTTGATAATGGGGAGCAAGAGCGGGGGGAGGGTGAGCGGATTTGGTGAGGTGATTTTTGAAAAAGCAAAGCTGAGTGGGTTTACGTCCGGGTAGAGGTGCTTTAAAGGGAATGCGCCACGTGGGTATTGCGCGATTACTGCGCCACGACATAGTCATCCATTTCGTCATATTGCAAGGTATACAGAAAGTTTTAGGGAACCTTTCGGAGGGTAATAAAGCTATCACTGCCATGCTAAAGGGGTAGTGACAGAAAAATTTGGCTGCTGTCACTTTCCCTGAAAACCACGCTATGAATATCTTTCTAGGCAAGATTATCTCGAGTTTACGAGGATATAACTGTATAAATTCAGGAATCTACAAAATCACCGCCTTCTAACCAAATCAAACTTCTTTCTAGAGTATTCATACGAGGAATGCCTGAGGGTGATACGCCCGATAAGGATGCCGTTGTCCAAATCTCTGGACAATCCACGCCCACAAAGGTTTTTCGTCTAGGGGGCGCAAGACTCCCAACTTCCAATGCACCCCGTCCCGTCATTGCTGTCTTCGAGAATCAGACGGAGGCACAGAATTTCCTGAAAACGGTCAATACCCCGAAAAACCGCTCGTCGGGACTCCAGGCTCGCCCGAACTACTCACCTTCCGACACGCTCTTGTACAAACAGGCCTGGAAAGAAGCCATCGACAAGAACAACCAAGAGAAGCGAGCGATCTGGACAGTGAGAAACTGCAAAGTTACTCGTCGCCAATATCCTCAGGGCACGGAACCATCCCCATGGACAGTTCGCCCAATCAAAAATTCAACTTAATCCAGCTACTTCTACGTCCCATTCGCTCCATACGCTACTTATTAATTCCTGCTTGCTCTACCCTAATATCTCTAGTCTAAATGCCCTTCTATTATTCAACCATTACGATTTTCTTCCTGGGCTCATTGAATCGCCGACCATCGCTGAGCCTTTCAGCGTTCACCAGTCAATCGATTTCTATATTTTGCTTAGTCACCATCGGCCCACTCCCCTCCCCGCAGGCTAAGAGATTTCCTCCGTGCCTCCTTTGAAGAAATAAACCGGCGAATAGCGGGGACCAATCGGCTTTTTCTATTTCGCAAACTACACTATCGCAGAAGAAATTCGAAGAACATCTATTCGCTAAATTTGTGCCCTGGGTGTCTTGCTATGCGATGACTTCAGCTACTCGCCAAATGTGGTAGAGGTGACAAATAAAGCAGTTCGCTGCTCTTTTATATTTAAAAAAAAAAATTTTTCATGGCAAAATTCCAAATTTCTGCTCTAGAAACAATTCAGCAAGACTTCGCTCGACGTGTATGCTACCGGTCGCGTAGGTCTCCTATTGTTCGGCATGTACTCAATCCAATCTCGAACCATTGAACCATAGGAGAACCGCGGACTTTCTTTTTTTTTTCTCTTTCACAAGATTCCTTCTCATATGTCTGAAAATACTTTCTTTAATGCTGCCCCTCTAGAACCCGTGGTCCTAAAACCAAAACCAAAATCAGCCCTATACTTGCTCAAAAAACCTCTGTCAAAAGCTTTCTTCTCCTCTCGCGTAGATGCTCCCTTAAATTCTTGTCCCCAAACTGCCATTATATTCCGTCTAAAGTCTGTAAAAATCATCTTTCCCGACTTATCCACATCTCCTATCTACTGTAATGGTGTTCTCGTCATTCTACTCTTCTATTCCATTCCCCCTCTTTCACATCTTCATAATATTTACAATTAATCATAATTTTCCCCTTATTTATCTATCCTCTCCACCACTCTATTTACACCTGATTCCTCACACTGTAAGAGTTGACTTTGTGAACCTTGTGTTGAGAATAAATATTATTATTAGTGACAGCACGATGAATTGCTATTTTTGTCTATTAGTGACGATCTTTTGCTCATGAATTCCCCTATGAGAATTCCGTGAGAATCTTGCGACAGACGAACGCGATTATGAGCGTTTTGAATGCGAAACAAGGCTGGGTGCAGCCTTGCAGATGTGATTTATCACCCTCTCGCTCTCTCTCACTCCCTACCTCTCTCTCCCTCTCTCACTCTCTCTCTTCTCTCTTATTTATAAGCACGACAGCAGTTTATGGCCTCGCAATCTTTGGACGTCCCAAAAACCGAAAAACGGGACGGGCATGCTATCATGAAGCCGACGAACGCCTAAATTTAACAAGCAAGATACCCGGCTAAGTCCCATAACTCAACCCTAACCCCCGAAAAACCCATCTCTAACGGCTATTTGGAATTGGCCCCCCAGGACGGAATGCTATTTGGACATTCCTTTATAGAGTTGGACTCTGGGCCTCAACCGAGTCCGACTCAATGCCAGCCGTCAAGCGGTGTTCCGCGGAAAAAACGGGGGCGTTCCGGGGTGAAATGGGTCCTGGAGGGCTTGAAAAAACTTGTTTTCATTGCCCAATGCACTCGAGCTGAAGCTCAAATTGAGCGCAGTCAGATTTTGGGACGGATTTTGCACTTTAATGGTCAGAAATTGAAAATGAGATGAGAAAATAAGAAATTGTCGTTTCCCCCGTTAAAGAGAAAAGACGTCAGAGATGCTGATTAAATGAGGGTTCCGGGTTTTAATTTTGCATTCGCTCGGGGATTGCGAGGAGTGAAAATTTGAAGGGTGCCGGGTCAGGTCTATGCTTAGTCTTGGCTTAGGCTCAGGCTCAGGGTTGTCTTAGGCTTCGTCTTATTTAGACTT